TTTCCAAACCAGTGTTTACCTATTTCACGCCTAAATCTAAATTTGTCTAATTTAAAACCATTGTTACGAGTTCGCTCCTGGTTGGATAATTTGAGTACCTTTGTAATGTCCCCTTTGTTTAGCCCTGTCTTCCACTTATACACCTCTATCAGGTCGCCCCTCGCTCTACGTCTCTCGAGGGAGTGCAAATTAAGATGCTTTAACCTGTCTCTATACTCAAGGTTCCTAATGCCCGGGATTAGTCTTGTCATTCTCCTCTGAATTCTTTCCAAGGATTCTATATCCATTCTGTAATACGGTGACCAGAACTGAACTGCGTAATCCAGGTGTGGTCTCACAAGAGCAAGATACAGTTTTAGGATGACCTCGCTAGTCTTGTAACTAACACTCCTTTGTATGAACCCAAGTACTTTATTGCCTTGTTACAAGCAAAAACACATTGTTTACTTGGCTTAAGGTTCCTACTTATCATTACTCCTAAATCTCTCTCGCAGTCGGATTTCTCTATGGCATCGTTGTTCATCTGGTATCTGGTTTCCCTGTTTACATCTCCTATACTGAGTACTTTACATTTGTCGACATTGAATTTCATCTGCCATTTTTCAGACCATTGGAAAAATTTGTTTAGATCTTCCTGTAGTTTTGCCGAGTCCTCGTCAGATTTGATAACACGTCCTATTTTAGTGTCATCAGCAAATTTACTTATGTTGCTGTCTATGCCGATATTCATGTCGCTTATGTATATAATAAACAATAATGGTCCAAGTACTGAGCCTTGGGGGAACTCCACTTGTGACGTGTTGCTCCAATGGGACTTAGTGCCGTTAATGCTCACCTTCCGCTGTTTCCGTCCTGTAACCACGCCTCTAATCCATTTAAGGATGTCAAATTTTGATGCCATGAGCTTACCTTTCTAATTAGTCTTTCGTGGGGACTCTGTCGGCTTTGCTAAAGTCGAGATATACCACACTCATAATCACAGTTCCTCGTCCACTGATTCGAAAATCCGATGAAAAGAATGTTAGATTAAGTTAGGCAAGAACGTCCGCTTGGTGAAGCTGATGCTAACCATTGATCAACTCGGTGCTTTCTCCAGGTGATTTCTTCAATAGAATTTGAAATGATTGCTTCCAGTAATTTGCCTACAATTGATGTTAGACTGATTGGACGGTAGTTAGAGGATAGTGATCTATCCCCCTTCTTGAAAATCGGTATTACATTCGCTATCCTCCAGGATTCTGGTACTACACCCGTTTTTACACCTGTTTTTAAGGACATGTTAAACAACTTTGCTAAGGGCATACTAAGCTCTTCCTTACATTCCTTTAATACTCTGGCAAATATCTCATCGGGACCAGGTGACTTATTAGGCTTTAGTTTGTCTATTTGCTTACTAACATCGTTTCTAGTCACTACTATCTCACTTAATTTGTTTTCTTCACTATCTCTGAATAGAGTCGGTGCCTCGGGTATCATGTTTAAATTTTCGGTGGTGAAAACTGTTGAAAAATATTTATTTAAATTATTGCTCATTTCTCCATCGTTATCAGTGAGCTCGCCGGAGTCTGACCGTATTGGTCCAATCTTTTCTCGTGTTTTAGTTTGATACATTTGGTAGAATCCTTTGGGGTTTGTCTTCGCCTCCCTTGCTACCCTTACCTCATTATTCCTCTTTGCTTTCCTTATCTCGGTTTTAACTCTACTCGCCAATACCCTATAATAGTCCCGGAGGTGAATTTCGCCACGATTTATCCTTCTACCTATAGCCTTCTTTTGGCCAATGATGTTCTTTAAATAATTATTTATCCATTTAGGGTCATTGTTGACTGATCTGAGTTTTTTGTATGGTATGTTCTGCCTTTGTGCATTAAGTAACTCACTATTTAAATTGTCGTGGAACTCGGCAATCTCAGATCTTGTTATCAGGTCGGTGTCATCTGTCAGGTTCACAGCCAAGCGCGACACCCCCCTCTCTCAGCTGCCTCTTTAAACTGTCAAAGTTTGCCCTTCTGAAATCTGGTACTTTAGTGGAATTTTCCTTACGTCTGCCCTGAAAATCTAACTGGAATCGAATTTCTTTGTGATCGCTGTTTGCAAGTTCGTTCCCTACCTCGACATTGCTAATGAGGTTTTCTCTGTTCGTCAGAACTAAATCCAGTATATTATTACCCCGTGTGGGTTCGGTTATATGTTGACTTAGGAAACAGTCCTGGATCGTCTCGAGAAAATCCTCTGATTCTGAGTTACCTGTAAGGACAGTCCAATCTATTTGGCCAAGGTTAAAGTCGCCTACTATACAGACTTTGTTGTGTATGGAAGCCCTGCGCATTTCATCCCAATTAAGTCGCTCATTGACGCTATCAAGATTGGGGGGTCTATATATTACCCCTGTGATTAATTTTTCCTGACCGTCGCTTAATTCTATCCAAATTGTTTCTGTATTCCTCTCAGTTTTTATTTCCTTATTTATTTCACACTTCAGATTATCCCTAACATAGATTGCTACTCCGCCTCCTTTCCTGGTCTGCCTATCGGTATGGAACAGTTTGTAACCCGCAATTTGGTATTCGACTGGTAATTCACGTGTGTCTAGGTTGATCCATGTTTCAGTGAATGCAATTATATCGATTTCTTCGGTACATACCAAGGCCTTAATATCATCCATTTTGTTTCTCATACTTCTACTGTTCGCGTAGTATACATTTAAGTTAGTCGTGTTCTGAGTCCTTCCCTTACCGCGTTTAGTTTTAAACTCCCTGTCTAATTTAGTTTTGTCATCATTCCTAACACTATTTCCCTGTAATCTTTCGCCTTGTTTACCCGCTCCCACTGCAGTCTCCTCCACCCCCGTGCCCCTATGTTCTCTTAGCAGTTTAAAGACTTCGATATCTTTTGAACTGCCCCCTCTAGAGCCCCAGCCAGGGTTGCTACTCCATCCCTAGACAGGTGCACCCCATCCCTAGCATAAAGGTCCCTTCTGCCATAGAAGTTGTCCCAGTTGTCAATGAATGGGACTGATATTGACTTGCAATATCTGTCAAGACGGTCGTTAACACCAACTGCCCTTGACAACCATTCACTGCCAACTCTCCTTCTAGGCAGGACACCGCATATGATAGGGATCCCTCCCTTTGTCCTAATACGATCTATGGCTGCCTTGAACTTATCAAGAAGTTCCTCGCTCCTACACCGGCCAATATCATTGCCTCCTGCACTGAGGCAGATAATGGGTTTGTTCCCATTACCAGACAAGATATTGTCCATCCTGTCAACTATATCCCCCACCCCAGCTCCTGGCAAACACACCCTCATCCTATTTTTGTTTTTACCACAAAAGGCCCTGTCCATGTACCTTACCTGTGAGTCACCAACAATTAAAGTTTTTATACCTTCCTTGTCATCCCTGCCCCTGACTGTACTAACGTCCAATTCGTCTATCAAGGGACTGAACGGGTTGGTACACTTAGCTGTTGTTGTCGTTGTTGTCGTATCCTTCGAGTGCTTCTTTACCACCAGCTTGGTCCTGCCACTACTCACGACTTTCCACTCGTTTGATTTTTCGTCAGACACTGGCATTACTCGTCCAGCCTCTCCTTTTAACTTCGCCAGCTCTTTCCTTAATTTCACGTTCTCCAACGTGGCCCTCTCAATTTCTAACTTGGCCCTCGCCAATTCTTCAGTGGACCACTCCAGTTTGGTCAACAAACTCTCATACCCAAGACCGCACCTATCACTGGCCATATCTGATAATTATCCCTCTGGAGCTAACCCTGCCGTGACCTTTCCCCAAGTAGGCTTGGGGATTACTGGCCACTTCGCCTTTAGGCTATTTCGTGATGTGACCCTGTAGTGGATTCCTCCCCTACAAACGCTGTTTGTCCCTGAGTAGCCGACCCCGCGAATTCCCCAGTGTATGCCTCGTGGTCTGGGTCAACCAGCGCCGCCTTACATGATGGAGGTCAACTGTTAAGCCACGCCTACCACCGCTATATAAGACCTGACCTGGCGGTGACCTAGCTCTCTTTCTACCTACACCAACCAGCAAGCAACACCTCCTCCTCCTGCCTGGCGGCCCTCGCTCCCGCCGGCGAGCATGGCGACCCACAAGCTGTCCTCCTCTGAGCACCCTCACCAACCGGCTCTCTCTACTCAACGCTCTTAACCATGCTGCCTCCCCAGTACCAAGCTGCATTGTACATCCAATACAACATGTATACAGAGAGCACATTGTGAGTTTCCTTTCTCCATCCCATCCCGAGTGTGAACACCAAATAACCCGTACCCCACAACCCCACCCCGCATATCTGCACCCTCCCAATTCCTGCCCTCAGAGCCTCACCTCAGTGATCTCACCTCACCTCACGTGACCGATCGCCCAAGCGGCTAACGAGCCGATCCGTGATGAAGAGGATAAAAATAATATGCTTGAGAAAGGTTGGCAAATGAGTCATATCCGTTAATGCTACTCATACTCCTACTAACTCTCACACAATAATGTGATCATGATCTTACTGACAACCATTAAGTAATACTAACTAAATCATGGGTGTTAAGGGTAGACAGGGAGTCCTATATTAGTGAAATATAATTAGAAATTAAGTAAATCCCATTATCAGTGTTCATTTTTTTATAGGAAAAACGTGGACAATGAAGGAAGAACACTAATGTTACCAAGTGTCCACGACCATGACTTCCACATCCATTACTTCTCAGGCACGACTAACTAGCTACGGTATCTTAACCATCTTGACCTGACCAAAAACTATTTATCATCGTTAGTTTTTTTTTTAGTTAGATTAAAGTAGATGAGGTTACTCTTGGGTGACCCATTTTTTATAAAATAAATTAACTAACAGTTATATAATAAACATATTTCTTAAAACAGACATTTATAGATATAATATGACACAATTAAGCGCTATTTAACTATCCCATTGTAATTTTAATAAGTTTATGATGGCTAGCTGTTGAAGGTAATTGGCCGAGGTAAGTGGCCAACATGGTCCCTGGTGGCCAACAGGAAGTAAACACTGCTGAGTGTGACGTTATCACCATGCCTGTGTGTTGCTCTTAATTAACTCATCCTTATGGTCCAGTCATGGCTCTACCACTAGTTAAGCTCCTCGCCTTAATTTGTCTCAGCAGAAAGGTAATTATAACAGGTTGTGAGAGTTTAACTTGCAGTAATATAGTGTTACCTGCGATTCTACTCACCCCGAGTTAATTATCACCTTTACTGACCCTCCGTCTCTTTCTTGCTTCTTTCCTATGAAATTTATTGTCCAGTGTTAGTACAGGAGCTCCTGGAGATAACCTGTAGGGTACTTGTGTCTCAGGCCAGGGCTGTAGTGAACAACCAGCTGTCATTATACACACAAGAAACTCACCTAATGAACTCAGAATATATTAAGTTATTGTGTCTGAGGTTTTGTAAGTCTGGATTCATTATTTATTCTTTTTTAAATAAATTAACAGCATTAAAGTGTATTATTTTTATAACGTGTTGGTAATACTTGGGATGTCCAACTGAACCACCTGAGGGAGCCTGTTAATGTATGAGAACAGCTCTACCACCAGAACCAGTTGTACAGAATCTAATAGAGCCTGACCTAACCAAGCAATGAAACCTACCAAACCTTACCTAACTTCCTAGCTGGGGGGGGGGGACGCCCCGCCATATAAAACAGAAAGTACTTATTATGATATCTGGTACCAATGAAAGTAACTTTTTTCAAGCATCATGGTGTAATTTTACATTTTTTGTGGACATGAGAGTATACGCTCGGGCCTAGCGGTCAGTTGGAAACAAACAGACAACACTCAGTGACTGCAATTTTTTTTTAGAAGTATTTACAGTAAATAATTAATTCCTTCACGCACAAAGCTCGTAGATACATTATTTTAGTGTCACATGATGAGTTCTTCACTGTGTTTTACCCCACAATTCACTTCATCCTTCATGCCCTGCCCACTACAGCTGATTTATGATCATTGAGAAAAAAAAAAAATATATATGTATACAGTATAAAAATACTAAAAATTGAAAAAAAAAGTTGTCACCTTTAAAATAAGAACATGTGTGGAAAAATGTAACAAACTTGAGTACCTCCTTCTGGTGGTAGCAGTGTCCGCATACATCACTGGGAATATTCTGTAGAGAAAACTTGGTAGATATTCAGTATTACGTCCAACACTATTTTTACTCGAAAAAAAATATTTTGTGGTGTATGTTGGCGTTTCATACACGCTGACCCTCACTTCCTTGGGAAAATTTTAATTTTTGAGGAAATTAAGAAATAACATTTTTCACAAGGAAATAAAGGTGAAACTCAGAGAAAACACCAAAATACATTTAAAAAACAAAGACAATTTGTGTATAATTTAGGGGGAATGAGGGGGTGGGGGTACAGTCAGGTGCGGTCCAACGAATTACCCAAAAGTATATTAAATCAGGGTAAAATCTTAACGAATATATGTTTTACATCAATAAAACCTGATTAATAATGTTTTCATTGAAATGTAGTCAAAATAATGAAATAATAAACAGCAAAAAACGCTAAATTCCAAAGAGTCACCTATCCAAAATGGAGATATAATTACCGATGTTTCTGTTACTTTGGGGTATTTAACATAGCCGTAGGATTTACTTTTCGTCAGGTTAGGTTAGATTAGCGAAGTGCATCACGATGGATCTGAGTTATCTCCCTTGTTCACCAACTCTTTGGAATTTAGCGTTCGCCAATACTGAAAGTTTTTCACTGTTTATTATTTCATCTTACAAATTATTTTTACAAAATTACACTAAAAATATTATTAACATGTTTTGTGTATGTATAACAGATATTAGTTAAGATTTTACTGTTATTTGTTTTACTTTTGGGTAATTCGTTGGACCCGTCAGGTGGGTGTACAGTCAGGTGGATGTACAGTCAGGTGGGTGTACAGTCAGGTGGATGTACAGTCAGGTGGGTGTACAGTCAGGTGGATGTACAGTCAGATGGCAGGTGGGTGTACAGTCAGGTGGATGTACAGTCAGGTGGGTGTACAGTCAGGTGGATGTAATAGCCAGGTGGGTGTGCTGTCAGGTGGATGTAATAGTCAGGTGGGGTGTACAGTCAGGTGGATGTACAGTCAGATGGCAGGTGGGGTGCCAGTCAGGTGGATGTACAGTCAGGTGGGTGTACAGTCAGAGGATGTACAGTCAGGTGGGGTGTACAGTCAGGTGTGGATGTACAGTCAGATGGCAGGTGGGGTGTAGAGTCAGGTGGATGTACAGTCAGGTGGGTGTACAGTCAGGTGGGATGTGTACAGTCAGATGGCAGGTGGGTGTGTTGTCAGGTGATGTAAGAACAGGTGGGGTGTACAGTCAGGTGGATGTACAGTCAGGGTACAGTCAGGTGGATGTATAGTCAGGTGGATGTACACCCAGGTGGGATGTATAGTCAGGTGGGATGTACACCCAGGTAAGATGTACAGTCAGGTGGGGTGTACAGGCCAGGTGGATGTACAGGCCAGGTGGGTAAGCAAACAGTGGATAAAAGCAGTCAGGATGGGCAGGTGGGTGTAGAGTCAGGTGGATGTAATAGTCAGGTGGGTGTACAACAGTGGATGTACAGTCAGATGGCAGGTGGGTGTACAGTCAGGTGATGTACAGTCAGGTGGGTACAGTCAGGTGGGATGTACAGTCAGGTGGGTACAGTCAGGTGGATGTATAGTCAGGGTGATGCCACCCAGGTGGATGTATAGTCAGGTGTGGATGTACACCCAGGTGGATGTACAGTCAGGTGGGGTGTACAGCCAGGTGGATGTACAGTCAGGTGGGTGTACAGTCAGGTGGATGTACAGTCAGATGGCAGGTGGGTGTACAGTCAGGTGGGTGTACAGTCAGGTGGATGTACAGTCAGATGGCAGGTGGGTGTACAGTCAGGTGGATGTACAGTCAGGTGGATGTACAGTCAGGTGGATGTACAGTCAGGTGGGTGTACACCCAGGTGGATGTATAGTCAGGTGGATGTACACCCAGGTGGATGTACAGTCAGGTTGGTGTACAGTCAGGTTGGTGTACACCCAGGTGGCACATTAGGTAGGTTAGGTTGGGTTAAGTAGTTGAGGATGGTTTACCTCGACTGCAGTAAGTCATGTTGATCACTGCGAGAGATGTCTTCTGCTCTTCTCAGGTATGAAATACTACCAGGGCAAAGTCACACCTATTACTGTACTGTAGTACTGTACAGAAATTGCCATATATTCTTGTTATTTATAGGTACAGTATTATTAATGTTACAGTGTTATTAATGACAGTAAGCCTTCGATAACTGGGCACATATGGGGCTCTGGCCTTAGCTAATTATCCCAAGTTCCAACTTATCGAGGCACTTCCTCCCTCCTACAAAAATACAACAATAAAAAATTATCCACCCATATACAGGCAGTACATGTAATGACTAAATGTAAAAACATAATACTTATAACACTTTAGGTGAAGAGTGAAGCATGGTAGGTGACACAGAGGCATGGTAGGTGACACAGAGGCATGGTAGGTGACACAGAGGCATGGTAGGTGACACAGAGGCATGGTAGGTGACACAGAGGCATGGTAGGTGACAGGCACAGGTGACACAGAGGCATGGTAGGTGATACAGAGGCATGGTAGGAGACACAGAGGCACAGGTGACACAGAGGCATGGTAGGTGACAGGCAGTAGGTGACACAGAGGCATGGTAGGTGACAGAGGCATGGTAGGTGACACAGAGGCATGGTAGGTGACACAGATACATGGTAGGTGACACAGAGGCATGGTAGGTGACACAGATGCATGGTAGGTGACACAGAGGCATGGTAGGTGACACAGAGGCATGGTAGGTGACACAGAGGCATGGTAGGTGACACAGGCACGGTAGGTGACACAGAGGCACGGTAGGTGACACAGAGGCATGGTAGGTGACACAGAGGCATGGTAGGTGACACAGAGGCATGGTAGGTGACACAGGTGGCCAGATATGCCGATATTTTCCCAGATAATTTTATATACAGTGGTCCCTCGGTTAACGAGCACAATCCGTTCCAGCAGGTTGCTCGTTAACCGAAACTATTGTTTCAATGGGTTTTTGGGTAATTGGTTCCAGCTCACCGAAAATTGCCTAAATTCAACAAAAATGGTAGAAAAGTTCACTTACTTTGAGGTGTGTATGTAGAAGGCTCCTGGATGATGATGATGATGGGAATTAGAATGGGGGTGGAGGAGAAGGGAGAAGAGAAGGCATTGGGGTGGAAGAGAAGTCACCCCATGGCGCCATTTCACCCATAAAATTTTAGTTCTCTTGGTGTATTTCAAGATTATTTTCTTTAAATCAACACTGCACTGCATTATATATTGTCAATATGTAAAATATATTTCAAAATGACCAATAATTTGCTTGGAAACACAGAAAAAAAAGCGTTTAGTTGAAGAGAGTCTCAAGCAAGATGTTACCTCCACTGAAAACAGAGAGAGACTAACGCCTGTCTGGTGTGTTAACAGGCTGGATGGCACGCCAGAAACTAGTTTCTTTACCTTCAATTATGTTCAATAATTGTTAAAATTACTAAAAAAGTTAATATTAAACTTTTAAAATTATTGTATAGTATAAACTTCTAGATATTTACTAAAATAGTAAGGAATTTAAGCCCTAAAACCGATTACTGTATTGGCGGACTAATACTACAGCTGGTGGACCACCAAATGCAAGCGAAAACATATTGAAGTCCGTTCGTAAAAAACTCGTTAATCGAGGGATTGCTTGTTAACCGAAGTTAAGAATCTTATGGAAGGTAAATCATTAACCGAAATCTCGTTAACCGAGGGACCACTGTATCTCGGCATTTCCCGAGTTATACTCAAATACATTCCGAGACGATATCCTTAATGAGTTATATGAAGTTCCGAGTTATTGAGCGTTTACTGTACTGTTAATTTATTAATATAAGATGCTGCTGGTTTGTGTGTTTATTTAGCATAAGTGTTATATAATGTGTGTGTGAATCAGTTGATGGCAGCTTTACCGGTCGTGTTGAGGATGAAGACAATGGAAAAACAAAAGCAGGAAAGTTGTAATTCCTCCTCTCATATAATTCCTCCACTCATCTACTGTAATTCCTCCTCTCATATAATTCCTCCACTCATCTACTGTAGTCAGTTCTGCTATAACGCGATAGTTGTGTTCTTGTAAAATATCGTGTTATAGAAAATCGCGTAATAGAAATAACAGGGCTTATGGAGAAAATAGGGTTAGGTGCAGATTACTACTCGACATCGAAAAAAAATTAGTAGTTAGCCTAACACAAAGGATAGCACAGTCTAAATAAATGTTACATTCATATCTAATAATGAAATCATACAGTAAATGTAACACTTTACTTGATGGGGGAGAAGGGTGATTTTGAGGTTGATAACATCGAGCTTCTCTTCAAGTGTTATATCCTTTCTTTTACGATCATCACCGGGAATTCGATCACCAGAACGCTTCTTGGAGATATTCTTCTTTACCATATTCACAGTTAATACCACAAAATTGGAGAAATAGTAAGCAAAAATCGCGTTACAGCAAACAAGCGTTCGCGTTATACAAATATCGTTCCTCTATTCATAAATCGCGTTAGAGCAAATTCGCGTTATCAAAACACGCGTTATAGCGGAACTCACTGTACTGTAATTGCTCTACTCATATAATTCCTCCACTCATATAATTCCTCCACTTATTTTTTTATATTTAAGAGGTAAGAAATATGAAATAAGTTATCGTCTACAAAATTTTCCCCAAAGTGGTTCCATGTTGTGAGTCGTACCTTTCGGTCATTGCTGTTTTAGTGTGTGTGTTTCCAAGTGTTCTCATGGCAGAACATTTACTGTTACACACGCTACTGATCATGGTCGCTGGCTGTAGGTGTAGGGACTGTGTGGATGAAGAGCTGAGTTTACCGGAGTTATGGCCAGTGTTGTGTCTTTGGTGAAATGTGTGTGTGAAGTACAGTATGGGGCCCAGATACTCAAAAGTATTTACTGTACAATATTGTGTCTCCCACTTAACTCTGTAAGTCGGTCTTCGAGGTTGTGGCTTCACTTATTGTACAGTAACTGGAGGCCAGAACTTACAAGACTTTCTGAGGTCCCGTAACCAACGGTATTGCATGTGTTATTTCAATGGAAAATAATATTAAAAGCTAACATATCAGTTTTAAAAGACGATATAAACAACAGCTGTGTTTGTTTATGTTTTACCGGGCAAGACAGTGTTGATTGATGTTTATTGAAAAAGATGGAGCTTTATGACATGAAAGGAGGTACTGAGATCCTTTGGACCCTTTTGAAGCTGTACGAGGACTTGGCCATATCATTAGGGCAGAGAACAGAGAGGTTCACACCGACTCACACCTGTTATTTGTACCTTGCATATTATTATTACTTTAAACTGTACTACTTGTTTCTTGAATCATTTACTAGTGTTTATGAAGTTTATTTATTGCAAATTATACATATATTTTCTATTTTTAATTTAGTTGTAATCTTTTTGTGAAATATACAGTAATAGTTTTGTTTAGTTTGTGGACAATGTGAAAGGTGTGTTAATACAGTCATTGAGCCGCCCTTCTTCTTAACAGACGTCCTTAAATTTGTGAACTTTTCCAAACTTCACCAACATCTCTCGGTACATGACCCACAAAACTCGCCGTACCTTAAAACTGAGTCCCGAGCATTAGTTTTCATTTTGTTGTCCAAATTTACCAATAGAATATCCTTCCACTTTTTCACCTCTTCCATCATAGCTAAAAACATGTTTATAAACCTCACGCTCCCCAGCCAGCTGATATCCTTAGCTTGTGATTGGTCGATATGTTTTGACAGTGTAACTGTGATTGGCCGACATGGCAAAATAGTTTTGAGTCTGGGGGTTTACAATATTGCTAGCAGTTTGTAATTATGAATACTGTAAGTTGGTTGCAGGATCGCCGAGTGTGTAACTTAAGAGAAGTTTTGAGTGTTTGGCGGGGTCAGAGCTGTGCTAGACACTGTTAATATGGGACATATTTCAGTGATGACATTTTCATGGTGTTACTCTACTCTGGAACAGGGATTTTGGGTCAAGTAGATACTGAGGAGGAATTTTGTGTAGAAAATAACTTGTTTCTTACTTCAACAATATCACAAAACAGTTGAAGGAAGAGAGAGTGTTGTTGAGAATATATATTCTTCCACTATACAGTGCAGTGTTGTACAGTACAGTACTCGGACTATGGAGAACATTACACAAGAGCCTAATATTATAATTGTGTCCCCAGGTTGCTGGTCATTACTGTGAGTGGGACCTGTGTGGCAGTGAGCAGTACTGTTGTGGGGACAATATCTGCTGTGATTATGTGTACAGCCTCTGGTACTTCTGGTGAGTCTTACTCTGTTGGTTCTCTTTGTGTATGCTCATAGTGTAATTATCATCACGTCTCACTACATATAAACACAAAATGTTTTGAGAAAATAACAAAATAATATTAATTTACTGGAGGATGGATGATATCACCCAAGGACAGGGATTATTTAACTGGGGTATGTCAACCCCCGGGGGTACGTGGAGGGATGGCCAAATTCAATGTACAGTTAATGCTTACCTGCTTAATACAGCAATTACAGGTACAGTTTCAACAATTTGACAATATCCAGTGTAGTATCATTGTATATTGAATAAGTGTTAATGTAGTACAGTACCATCCTATATTCAGTCTCAGTAATGTGTCTGATAACTCAGGAGCACCTGGTGAGAAGAAGTTTGAGAACCCCTGATCTAGGAGTTGGAGACACAGACCCTGGTTTACTGTACAGTATTATACTGCACTCTTCTTCACATTCAGAACTAAGGCACACATTTCATGGAGTCTCCAGCTGACCCTGCAAGACAAGGTTGTTTGGATCTGCTTGCCATCAACTCCTTGATACTTGGCCTGTCTCTGGTGGGTCTGTGTACAGCACTCCTACGGCCATTTTTTATAAACACTCGGTGCAACAAGTCCGAAGAACAATCCCGAATGTCGGGTTATTGTTTGGTAACCCTTCAAATGGATTCGTTAAACTCGAATATGAATCCCAAACATCGGGATACTATATAGTAACGCGAACGCCACAACTCGAGAGGGTTGGTACGCCCTATCCAATATAACAAACCAGGTCGATCTGCGTGCCAAAATTGAAGCAGAAACATGAGTTGTGGAGATAAAAGTTCGTCTTGAAGGGAGAAGGCAGTCACCACCACCAGTTATACCAGCGTCTGCACCAGCAGGAACACTTAGATCAACTGATCCAACATCAGGATCACCCGTGCCACCACCAGCAGGTCCACCTCCAACAGTGCCAGCAACAGGAGGTCCACCTCCAACAGTGCCACCACCAGCAGGTCCACCTCCAACAGTGCCACCACCAGGAGGTCCACCTCCAACAGTGCCACCACCAGCAGGTCCACCTCCAACAGTGCCACCACCAGGAGGTCCACCTCCAACAGTACCACCATCAGGAGGTCCACCTCCAACAGTACCAACACCATCAACGTCTAGTCACAGGGGGATGATAATGAAGCAGGTGAACAAGAGGAATGAATGAGTGCCTCAGGGCCATTATTAAGGACAGTACACAAGAACTGAATGGTGCTATATTGGAGGCTTTAAAGGCCTTCACTAGTATGTACAATACATTATCAGCCCTATCTGTGCGTAATGTATTTAGAGCAAGCATTACAGTTGTCGACCAGTGACAAAATTATGTCAAGAGTGCAGCCATAATTCCACCTCTGCAATTTAGTTAAATTATGGAGACTTTGCCATCAGTGTCATACAGTAATTGATCATGTATAAACTGTGTTTTATATCTCTGTTTACTGTGTTTTGCACTTCATGGAGAATATGAAACCACATTTTTCATGTTCTAACATTAGTTATTATTTTTTTGTTCTTTTAGTTCTTGTGAAAACAAATAGATTCTTTCAACTTAATTGTGTTTTTTCCATCTCTTTCTGTTTGCTGTTTTTCTGCAGTTAATGAAAAATATGAAATTACCGTGTTTTACAGCATACAGTATAAAACGTACGGCCTATAAATAAGTTACAACAAAAAATGCTGTACAGTAGTCCCTCGGTTAACGAAATTTCGGTTAATGAATTACCTTCCATAAGAATCTTCAATTCGGTTAACGAACAAAAATTTGATTAATGAAATCCTTACGAACATCACGTTTTGTTGTGAGCATCAGCTGATGGGCTAGTCTGCCAATTCAGTAATCTGTTCTATGTTTACATTTGTTTCCAGTGGAGTAAATATCAAGACAATTGTGCTCTTTAATATTTGTGTATTTTTTATATTAAAATTATTGGTCATTCTAAAATTTAGCCATCCGAGCTCTGTCTACATATAGTTTTCAACTATTATTTTTGCCTCGATGTATGTAACTTTATTCATTTATTGAAACTCATTTACATGCACACACTGTCCTAAGGGCAAAGCTGTACTGTACATGTAATCAAAATAATGTACAAAATGATTACTAAAATTTTAGTCTGTGCAAACTATTGCATGTTTACCAATTAATCACTATCTTATAAGAATTCCAGCAATGTAAATTATATTCTCCCCGGTCACTTCTATGAAATTTTATAAGTAAAAAACAAAAACTCAATCTAAAGGGCATAAATAAACAAATAAATACTTCACTAGACCTTCGGCGCTAACTCAAACGTATCACCTCACCTCCCCCCCACTCGCTCCCTCCCTCCCTCTCCCCCCCCCCCAGTCAGGGTTTTAGGCTTACAGTTTTTATCTTATATAATATCACAGACTAAAGTTAGGAGAATGTAATTTGCATTGCTGGAATCCTTGCAAGACAGCGAATTATTTGAATATAAACGTCATATATTTTGCACAAGAGATAAAAATTAATCACTTGTATCACATTACAGTAGTGATTTAAGAGTAAGAGTGTGTATGTACGTATATATACATACAGTCGGCCCTTAACATACGCGGGGGCTACATAACAGAGATACCCGTGGATGTTAAAAATCTGCGTATATGTGCTGCCCCCCAAAAAAAACCCTGGCCCCCCTCCATGTCCTTATTTACCGTATATACCTGTGTGTAGCTCGAGTTTTTAAGACCAAATTATTTGGCAGAAAATTGGGGGTCAACCTCTAAACGGGTAATAGTTTCATTACGTTGAAAAATATTTACCAGTAACTACCAGTAAACAATGGAAACGACGCACCACCAGCTGTGAGTGTCGGTACAGTTGCCAGGGCAGATCTCTTGCGTCATCATAGCAAGCCCAAAGTAGCCAAATCCATGGTATGGTAGCACAGCACGATGTAAAACATAAAGTATTCATTTATTAAAGTTTATTTATAGATACTGGACATAAATTTTTGTTCATTACATTTGAAACATCAATCTTTGTTAATTAAATTTGAAACAAAAGAAAACTACGATACCGTATTTTCATTAAAATATTACATCACAAGTATGTGACTGAATGAATATACATATTCTCAGAAATAAATATAGAAATGAAATATTTTTGCTGGAATGACGAACATATTACAGTGGAAAGTGGGATAAAATCATGACGAAAACAATGACTTTGCTTTCTTTCGTTATTCAAAAGATTTTACGGTAATCGCTTTTCGAATGGTTTTCAGTTAAAAAACTGTTGTACTGTATTACAATAATATTCTATCCTATCATTAGCCTTATAATCCCACAACTGAAAACCATTCGAAAAGCGATTCCGGTAACATCTTTTGAACGAAAGAATGAGAAAGTCATTGCTTTCGTCACAATTTTATCCCACTTTCCACTGTAATACGTACATCATTTCAGCAAAAATATTACATTTCCATGTTCTCAGAAATAAATGGTAGTTCTTTTGAAACGTAACGTACAGTATTTAATATTAAAATGCAAAAATAGCTATAAAAACAATTAATACTGTACACCCGTAATATACTGGCTGGCATCTCGTCCCTGCTCCCGCGTCCAAGGGCACCACTCCTCCCAACTCGCTCCCTCCTCCGCCTCCTCCACCTCCTCACCGTCACTACTGCCGACAACTAACACAAATGTTTTGTGAATAACTGCACCTCCACTTCCTATGTACAGTACTGAACTGTACTGTGCTGTGCATTTTTACAAACAATAAACATGGCAAGAAAAGCTATTAAAAAAAAAGAGATAAAAATTTCACTTTACTGTACAGTACCTATCCTCGGCGACAGGACTGGGGTCATCGGGCTCATCGTCACTCAATTCCATAACAGGTGGTGAAGTGGGGGCGACGGTGGATTCAGCTGCTTCCTCACTGCCGCCAGTGATTGATGGTGTTAAATCTCTCCTTCGGTGATCAAAGAACATGGTGATGGGGAGCTGTCGTCTCTTTCATACATTTCTTCCATGATGTTTTTGTATGGAGCGAAAACGTCATCCATCCCTCGCATGAATTTCAGGGCACGCACCATGGAGGGGTCCATACTATAGGCCAGGTTTTTCAGTGCCTCAATATTCCTGGTCATCTCCCCCAACTTTTCCAACGTTATTTCTTGGTGCTCTTCCTCTTCCTCATCCTCTTTCCCTTTCGCTTCCTCTTCCTTGCCTGAGTCTACTAACTCCTGTAGATCCTCCTCGGTCAGCTCAGTGTCGTGCTCTTCAATTAGCTCCCTAATCTCGTCCACTGCCATGTCCTGGAAGCCTTCAGCAGCCACTTTCCTTGACAGTGCCAGGGTCTTTCCGAATATTTTCATTAAAATCCATCAAAATCGTTTTCCTTGTCATTGTCTTAAGCACCAAACAGCTCCTCCCAGTCTTCTCCTTGAACAGGGCTAGAGGGTACTTGTTTTTCGAATAATTTTCAGTTAAAAAAATGTTACAGCACATGTGTATTTTACCTAAACTGTGCCTGAATGAATATATTCTCAGAAATAAATAGTAGTTTTGCAGAAACGTGATGTATTTCAATGTAAAATAGGATCAAATACATGACGAAAACAAAAGACTTTACCTAACCTTCCAATGTTCAAGAGATGTTACTCGCTTTTTTTAATAGTTTTCGGTTAAAATGCTGTTATATTACAATGATATTATATTCATACTGTGCTTGATATACTACATTCAAGGAAATGTAATATTTTTGCTGAAATGACGTACGTATTACAGTGGAAAGTGGGATAAAATCGTGACGAAAACAATGATGTGAGCTTTCTTTCGTTCAAAAGATGTTACCGTAATCGCTTTTCTAATGGTTTTCAGTTAAAAAAACTGTTGCATCACAAGTGAATTAGGATAGAATATTATTGTAATACAACAGTTCTTTAACTGAAAACCATTCGAAAAGCGATTACGGTAACATCTTTTGAAC